GGATTTTTTGACACCACCAAATAGATTCAAATGATCAATTAAAGAATCAAGAATCATCAGCTAAGCTCCTTAATTGCTATGGTACTAAAGATTGCACTTTTATTTTATTTTTTTGAGACTCTCAGGTTGAGTCTCAAAACCTTTTTCGTTACTTACAAAGTTTGGAAAATCATCTTTAATATCAGTGTCCTAAATATGCTTATTTACATAGACAAATTTGGATCATGTTATTCTGAAGCAACAACGTTGCTTCAGGTATCTTGGTAGTGAGCAATCAAACGAAATTTCAGAGGTGTACATTTCTTGCCCATATGTTGAAACTAAGTGATGTTAAAATATATTGGTATAAAAACCCATTGGATAACAGCTTGGAAAGGATAACTATTAAGGCTGTGCACAGTGTGAAAATTATTGGAAATTGTGCATTGGATTTCACATGAACATAACATCTCTCTTTTATGTATTAAAGCAGCCACCTGTTTCAAGCTTCTGTGCAAACCTGAAAAAATGATGTTGCTGCTTTCAGAAGTTGCCTTGTTAAAATTAAATTTAAATTAATATTATCCTTAAGGCAGACAGAATTTTTTTTTCAGTTTTGCCAACATGCATTTAATGAACAGTTGAGATCGATACTGCAGTCTCCTCAGTATTCATGTTAGAGAACCTGAAATGTTTCTTCCCTATAAAAATGTCCATCCTAGCTAATTCAGTTTTACTTTGTAATACACAATTCTTTTTGCCTTTAAACTTTTCTAACATTCTACCAACTGCAGTCTGAGAAGCAATTCTCAGTGGGATGACTTGGTGAAAAGTTTACATCCAAGTGAGTGCATAAGAGCCTCATGCTGCAAATTACAAGGAGATTACTTGAATTTCTGTGTACATTATGCAGTTAGCAAACCTGAGAGTGGTCAATGGGGATTGAAAGAGAATGATATTACAACAAATATAATACACAGAATCTTAAGCATTCATGGTTTTCTAATGATTGTCCAGTTACTGTAATCCCAAATAAGGCAGATGAGACCAAACAAATTATCTAAATTGTTAAGATGAACGCAGTTCTGGTACACATGATATACAATACATGTTTAGTTTGATGGAAAAATAATGTAATGATTGCTTAAGATTATCAATTAGTGTTTTTTTTTTAAAGTATTGAAGTGTAAATAGTAATGGCATGGAAATTATCACTGAACATTCACTGTTTTCCTTCATGATTTAAGACAAATGATGAGTTTATAGTCATTTTCCAGTAATTATGTTCCCTCTATCTCTAGACATTGCTCATTAAATTTTTGATATTATATGAAAGTTAAAATAATATTATATTTGAGGGTTAGCTTAGCTATTTTCTTAAAAACAATGCTGGTGACTTTGAATTAAAATGATCATCTGTTTATAGTTATAGTGTGCAATCTGCACTCATATTTCATCCAAATCAGATTAGATTACATTCAGATTTGCAGAACTGGAAAGAAATGGGTGGGGATTGCAGTTTTCTCTAATTCCTTCTAGCTCCTAGTAGCATTTACTATTCTGTTGTGGTAGGTAACAACTAGACTAGCTTTTCTGGAACAGAACAAAGCATTGTAGAAAATGGGAAGATTCTAATTCTTTTCTCCAGCAGAAACTGTCCGTAGGCTGCAAGGTCCTCCCTCCCTCCCTTAATTTTCCTTAATTCATTAAAGCCAGAATTTTTAAAAAATAATATAGATTCTAAATTAATGCAGTTTATTCCTTTCATTTCAAATATTTGTCCTCAAAAAATAAATCTGGAGACACAGATAAAATTGCAAAATCTTGTTTGTTAAATGTACACTGACCAAGGGTATTTTGGAATAGGCATTGTTGTGATGATTAATAATATTAATGTGCTAGTTCAATTTCTGAAATTGAATTTGTGGTACTATGAAATAAAGTGATATAATTATTTGGCATGTTTTTTATATTTGGAGTTTCATAATTCATATATCCCAAAGCATATTACTAATATCTGTGCTTTAATAAGGCTTTTGGAATCTTACGTGCTTGGCTCTGTTTATGTAATGACTGAACTGTCCATAAATTGTGAGGTTAAATGTGGCAATCCTATTTTGAATTTAATTGTAGTTTTAAAACCCCTAGTCCTTTTTTTCTTTGATACAGAAAACACTGATATAGCGATATATGTAAATGTATTTTGTGATGCTACATAATAGTATATACATTATTCCTTACAACAATTAGATGCTACTGTATCAACTTCTCTTTTGGAACATATGAATACATTTGTTGTCACTTTGACAATCAGACCTTTAGTGGTTTGTTTTAAAACATTTGTTCTCTGTTCCTGCCTGGTCCATACCCAGCATTGTCATCAAAATGAATTTAATTTTTATTCATCATTTAATTAAAGGTCTAAATCAATGTTTCCCAATTGTGACCATTTCCAGATGTGTGAACTTGGAATCTCAGAATTCCACCACTAGAATGGTCATTGATGAGAAATGTGAGAGTTGAAATTGACATATCTGGAAATTGCCAAGTCTGGGAAACATTTGTCTAAATCCACTTGACTGAAATTTAACTGGTGACATCTTTGACTACCGTATATGCCGGCGTATTAGGCGACCCGGCGTATAAGATGACCCCCGTCTTTATAGCCGGGCCGCATTCCTAGAACGTCGTCTTATACGCCGGAAACTACCAGTATTTCCGGAGTATAAGACGACTCGGCGTATAAGACGACCCCCGTCTTTGGCGCCGATTTCAGCGCTCGTGGAAGTCGTCTTATATGCCGGCATTTACGGTATATATGTTTTGCGATAGAGACAATATATGCATTAGTCTTACGTGTTGGTATAGACTATTCAGCTGAGCAGTGTGGTGGCCTAGTGATGAAGACGCTCGCCTCCCACTTGGAAGGTTGAGAGTTCAATCCTAGGTAGCATCAGTTATTTCTCTCCTAGGGTGCAAAGAAAAAATATCTTCTGCGAACGCTGCTTGGCATCAGGAAGGGCATCCGGCCAGTAAAAGCTCAGCTCCATCCAGTCGCCCTGACCCGAATTAAGAGATTACAGGGTCGTAAAAAGGGAGTTGGTATATTATTCAGTTGAACTATGATTATTTCTAGATGCTTGTATTCTGTGACTAGAGTAGCTTTCATTTTACTAGGAATATTATTTTAAATTCTAAATGGATTGAATTGAATTGTTTAGTGTGACAATGAGCTTCAAGCAATATTGAACAGACTTGGCTGATTTGGGGAAATATTATTTTTTTCAGTAGGCCAAACTTTTTAAAAAAATAATAATCATCACATTTATGCAGTAATGCTTCCCTTTTTATAAGCAGGAACTTTATAAAATAGTTAACTTGATAACAGGTAGGAATGAATTTGGAATCCAGATGCAAAGAGGACTTATGTGGGTGGAGCAGAATGTACTATTAGTCTTTCTGATATCAATGGCAAGTCATTAAGAGAAGCCTAATCTACTTAGCATTAACTACATGTCATTTACTACTACCACTGCTACTACTACCACTGATTATACCATACCTGCATGTTTGCTTTGTGAATAACTTGCATTTGATACAAGAGTAATAATGCATTGTGCTGGAATGATAGTTGAGGAAGATGGTGTTGAGATTCATAAAACACATTCTTACACAAGAGAAACTGGTTTTTAATAGAATGTGTTTGAATTACTGACATTCCTGTAGTATTGTCTATTTCACAGAACTGCATCAAGGTGTCAGAAGCTCATTCATTATGATATTTAAAATTTCATGTTACAAAGTGGATATTCTTAGCAGTAGTATATATGAAATATATATTGTTACTACTCCTAATGTAAAGAAAGATACAGAATGCCATAAGAAAATTGTAAATAATAATGAGATAAATATTGTTTGGTCTAATGTTTTACAAACAAAATGCCTTTAAATGTGTTTAAATTCTTAATTAAAGTTCTGTCTCTCTAAATTTGCAATCTATTTTTCCGTAGAAATAAATCTCATCATTTCAATGGAACTTTCTTTACAGTTAGAGTTGCATGCTAAAGAGATACTAAAATGACAAGAGATGGGAGTAGTAACAATATGATTGCATAATCTTGAAATCATAATACTTGTAAACAACAGAGTTCTGATTTTAGGCAGTTTTCATAATCTTAGAGAGCAGTGACTCATTATTTCTAGATGTTGTCAATTGTATGTATAAAATGTTGGCCATACTGTACAATATCCTTATGTAGCTTTCCCTTTTGATTTTTTCAGAATAAATATGACACTGACAGATACTGACAGAAGATAATATTTGTAGTTCAAATATGAATTACATATTTGTGGGGTCTTTGATGCTCTTTGAGCTTGTTTAACTTTTTGCAGATGTTTCATTATCCACCTAGGTAACATCATCAGTGCTAGAAGGGAGTGTGGGGAGAGGGAAGTGTTATTCTTTTTTATATACTAATAGCTTGCTGTCAGTGTTGATGGGAGTGTTCTTGGTGGTTCCTTCCTTAGACTGTTGTTTAATGTTTGAAAGCCACTAAGTTCAGAGAACATTAAGGACTTCATAAATATAATGAGTTAATACTGGTATCAGTATTTTGCAGAATAAGTGCAACTTTGCTACTTCTCACTCCCTAAAATATTTTCATTGATTCTTGTTATGAGTTCTCCCTTGATATTTTGACAATCCTAAGAGATAGAATTATTGGAAAAAAAGAGTTTGGTGATTATCCTTTCTCTAAGTATGATTAGTTTATTATGGCTTTATCTCCAGTTCTGGTACTTCAGACAGAAATAAAATGATAGCATCTGATGGCATCTAAATCTCAATCTCAGTTACTAATCAATGCTTTCTCTACATTTCTTATTTATGGCTATTACTGTTTCAAATTTTTCTTACTCTTCAGATGCAACAGATGATGCTATGATGATGTCAATATGCTTTAAATGTCATTGCTTAACAAATTGTCTTTCCTTTATCTCATATATGATGGGATCCTCACTAGACAGAGGTAACAGATAGGGAACAGTTGCATAACTGGACCCTGGTGTGTTGTTGATGGTGTCTTTTGTTCCCTAATACTCTCTTAAATTTGTGCTTGTGATTTATGTGCTCCTGTGCTTGCATGTTTCATATACATTAACCACAACTCACTTGATCCTTTTAAATATTTCTGTTTCTTCTTTGTGTGCGTGTGTGTGGGTGTGGTGCTTGTAAAAAATGTCTTCTAATACTTCTGAAAAAATTAACTACTTTAAAATCATAGAACTTAACCTCTCTAACCCAGTTTTTGCATCTGTTTTTGGCCTTTAAAACTTCAGAAGGCAAAATGACTTAATAGCTTCCAGTTTACTAATTAAATGCCTGGATAGAATGAGAAAGAAGAGAAATTGTTGGATCAGAATGGCCTGTCTACTTTACAATTACCAATGGATGATAAATTGTAGCCTCTTGATCATGACACTGAGATTAGGTTTGGTCTTTTACCTTTATTTTCATTACCATAGCATTTCCCAATCCTACTGTTAAAAAAAGTTTTGCATTATGTGTATCTTGCCAGAAATCATAGCTAAGACGAATCCTTTAAATCGCGTCTTCAAAGCTAGTTCAGTTTTGTAGTTTTAAAAAATATATGGTACTATTAATTCTGGTTTCCTGCAATGTTCATATAATCATAGCACAACACTGCTATTAAATTCAAGTGCTGCTTCCTATTTCATAACCAAATTAAGAGGTGGGCAGTATTTTATCTGTGCATAGAAGTATAAAGGCTCTCCAAAACAATCATCAGTAAATTCTTTCTGATCACTATGTATTAAAAATGGCAAGACAGAAGCTTTAAAATACCTACTACTAAATTAGAAGGAAACAAGGCATATCTTGATTTGCTTTGGATTGAAAATGTTAATAGCACAATCCTAGCCTGTTCACTTAGAAATAATTCTGGTATTCAGAGAGATTTAGACTCAAATAAGGACTGAAATTTATGTAAAATAATAGATAGAAGAGGACTTAGTTTTAATATTTTAACCCCCAAAAGCCCATCTGACAGATTTAAAGGCTGGAAAGGTATCTGGATGGTAATAGAAGGGATTTAGAAAATGAATAATGGCAATAATAATAGAGTATTAAAGCTGTGATCTGTTATTAATTAAAATATTTTTCCTCTGTTGGGATTGTGATATTCATAATCTTTTAAAATAGAGAATCTCCCAGGAACGTGAGAAGTTTGCTGATGAAGACAGCATCTTTTATGCCCTTGGAGAATGTGGCTTGATTTCCTTTTCTGATTACATCTTCCTCACAACAGTTCTGTCAAGTAAGTACATGTTTTTGTTCCATACTGTTTCCATTTCAATTTTTTTTCTAAATGCAGAATAATAGAGTTCAAAGGGATCTGTTATTACCATTTAAACGCCATCTGCATTGACAAAATCACCATCAGTCAATTGCAAAAGGCAGCTTTACTTGGAACAGCTTACATCCTAAAACAATACCTCAATGATTAAACAATATCTGCCTATCCCAGCTCCTTGGGAAGGACTTGATAGGTGGATAAAAATATCAAATCCAGTCTAAACATCTGGCTGATTGTGCAACATGCCACCAATGTTTTTGTGATTTGATCATGCTCACAGATGTCAATGTGCATTCATTTCTCCATTTTTAGATGATTTCTTTGGGTCCCATTTGTGGTTGATGTATCGGAAATGAACAAGCTCTTTTCTTCTTCCTCTTGGAAACATTCCTATTTTATCAATTTTGGATTTGGCCTCAGTCCTTTGTCATTTATCTTGCTGTAGAAAGAACAGCATTAATTCTGTCTAGTTAAGAGTATTCTCTTTTGTTTTCCTATCTTGTTCTAAGTCATTTGGCTTGGAAAACTGCATATTCTGCATTTGGCCCCCGTGAGAGAGGAAAAGAATTATATGTACATCATTAAATTCTCTATCTGGAAATATCTCACAAAACCTGTTTGGGAATTAAAATTCAGAGCACATGGAGGAATCAGTTCCACATATGCTAAATGTTATATTTACCGAACCTGTATGACCCCTGTTCTCCTTGCTAACCTTTTAACTCTGTCTTAGCCTTTTCAATAATCAAGACACATCATGAAACTCTTTTAGAAGTTTTAAGTAACAGCCTCAGCACTTGAACAAGATTCAAGTCAGGCCATGATCCACATAACATCATACTTCCAAAGCACCTGAAGGCAGGACAAGAAGCAACGGGTGGAAACTAATCAAGGAGAGAAGCAACCTAGAACTAAGGAGAAACTTCCTGACAGTGAGAACAATTAATCAGTGGAACAGCTTGCCTCCAGAAGCAGTAAATGCTCCAACACTGGAAGTTTTTAAGAAGAGACTGGACAGCCATTTGTCCGAAATGGTGTAGGGTTTCCTGCCCGAGCAGGGGGTTGGACTAGATGACCTCCAAGGTCCCTTCCAACTTTACTATTATTATTATTATTATTACTTACAGTGACTCCTGGGGAACACACAGTGGCTCAGTGGCTTAATGATGCTGGAGATATGGTTTCAGCTCCAGTGGTTTGAGCCCTAGCTCTGTCTGGCAGAGTGAGCTCCTGTCACTCACCTCAGCTTCTGTCCACCTAATAGTTTCAAAACATGTTATACAAGTAGATAGATAGGTATCACTTTGGTAAGGAGAAGAGCTGGTGCTCTGTTCAGGCAGTCAAATTCCTGACAGCTTTGAACTTTCCCAGTTGTGGTGCCTGCTTGTGAGACAACTCCGGGAAGGGAGAGCGCCTTGGGTGCCATTGCAGGAAGAGTTGCTTGTCTTTTTCTTTGGTACAAAGTCAGCTCTCCTTCCTATGTGCATCTTGGGAAGTGCACAAGCATTTCCTATAACAGGGTTGGTACCTTGGCAAGCCAAACTGCTACTCTGCAATAGCATTGTGGTTTCCTGACTACTGTAACAACACCATACGCTAACAACAACAACCTCTGGGGATCACCATAGTTTCAGACAGAATCCTGCTGAATCGAGCATTTTTGTTTTGTCATTGAATTATGGCCTTTCCTGCCAGTGCATACATTTGCTACATAATGGCTAACTTTCCACATTTGAATAGGAAGGTGAGGGTTAGTTGAAGCCTTTGGTTCCTTCCTTCCCAATAGTAGTAAAATTTTGCGATGCCCAAAAGTGTTGAGATGGGGAGTCGAGGAGACAACAAGGACATTGCTGGTCAGCTATATTTATCATAGAAAACAATCGTGGGTGTAGCTGACCATCTTTTACAGAAACACACCTGCACAAAGAGAATAATAATCTGTCTGCAAATGTTTTTGTTTTGAAAATAACCAGTTTGGCCAGGTGAATAGTCTGTTGGCAAGAAAAAAAACAATACCATAAAAATAAAATGTTTTTCCCACTTTCTGCTGTGCACATGTATTATTAGGTCTCATTTTCAGAACAGCACAACTGAAAGAAGCTGAAGCATCAGAACAGCCATTCCCATGTTAACTTTCCTTGTGGCTAGAAGAATAAAGAGAGGAAAATGGTTGTTCCTCCAGTAAAATTCTTGCTGTGAAATTAAGAGTTTAAAGATATAACATGCAGCATGCAAGTTCTTTTATAAGTTGATCTTTTCCATGCATTTTTTTTAAAAAATATGTTTATAATGCTGCATACTGAATTCAGCAGCCTCAAGCCTTTTGATGGTTCTGCTGCTCTTTGCAGTTTTGTGATTAAACAATTTTGAGACTAACTGAGCTTCTGATATCATAGAATCTTCATAAGCAGCTATCGGAATCAGACTGAACATGTCACCTAGGGTAACTAAGATATTAATGCCACTTAGAATGAAACCTTCTTTGAGTTGTGTAAACTGTGGATATCCTGATACGTGCCATTTAAATGAAGAACTGTCAGGGCAATGGAATATGAGGGAAAAATGCAAAGAAGAGCAACTAAGATGATTAAAGGTCTGGAGACTAAAACATATGAAGAACGGTTGCAGGATTTGGGTTTAGAGCAAAGAAGGATTAGGGGTGACATGATAGCAGTATTCCAGTATTTGAGAGGTTGCCACAAGAGGGGAGGGGTCAACTTATTTTCCAAAGCACCTGTAGGCAGGACAAGAAACAATGGATGGAAACTAATCAAGGAGAGAAGCAACCTGGCACTAAGGAGAAATTTCCTAACAGGGTGAATAATTAACCAGTGGAAGGCTTGTTTCCAGAAGTTGTGAGTGCTCTATCACTGCAGGCTAAAAGAAGAGACTGGATAGTCACTTGTCTGAAATGGTATAGGGTCTCCTGCTTGAGCAGAGGGTTGGACTAGAAGACCTTCAAGGTCCTTTCCAGCTCTATTGTGATTGATGGATTGAAAGTGGAACAAAGAGACAATAGAAGGATTAGTCTTTTTATACTTTATCAAATGATTAAAGTTTGTTACTAATTTATATTTATTAAAATATGTTGAGTGCTATTTGTCCTCAGTCATCTTCTATATTGGAAAAAGTCTGTGGGCAATGATTTGCAGACAAGGGTGTGCTTGACAGTATTCACAGTATGGACGTTTTGCAGTATGATAATGCAAATTCTTCATGATTGTACCCTTGGGCAACTAGCACTACATTTAATCAATGTTATTTGATTAAAGTTACTTGCATTTACAGAGAGTAATCAATTCAGTTCATTTTACTAATAAGGCCATATGCCAGTTATCAGAAAAATGTAATTACTAGAAACGTTTTTACATGCTTAGAGTTAGCAAGTGAGAATAGAATAGAATAGAATAGAATAGAATAGAATAGAATAGAATAGAATAGAATAGAATAGAATAGAATAGAATAGAATAGAATAGAATAGAAGGGATCTTGGAGGTCTTCTAGTCCAGCCCCCTGCTCAAGCAGGAGAACCTATACCGTCTCAGACAGGTTAATGTCTAGTCTCTTAAAAATCTCCAGTGATGGAGTGCCCATGATTTCTGGGGGTAGGCTGTTCCACTGGTTGATTGTCGTCACTGTCAGGAAGATATTATGGCCTATTGTGTGCAGCAGAAAGATGTATAGGTAGTCATCAACTTACAACAGTTCATTTAGTGACCGTTCAGAGTTACAACAGAACTGAAAAAATGATTTATGACTGTTTTTCACACTTCCAACCATTGCAGCATCCCCATGGTCACATGATCAAAATTCAGACACTTGGCAACTGGTTTATATTTATGACAGTTGCTGCATCCTCTGGTCATGCGATCCCCTTCTGCAACCTTTTGACAAGCAAAATCAATGGGGAAGCCAGATTCACTTCACAACCGTGTTACTAACTTATCAACTGCAGCAATTCACTTAACAACAGTGGCAAGAAAGGTCATAAAATGGGACCAAACACACTTAACAAATGTCTCACTTAACCACAGAAATTTTAAGCTCAATTGTCATAAGACAAGGACTACCTGGAGTCTGCATTGTCCATGCCTGCAATACTAATTACTGGATCCAGGCCAGCTCTCTTATTTTGGCTTAATTTAAATCCCAATACAATTGCTTCTTTTTTGGAACTTGGAAGATTATTATATTGTCCCTCGTCATTTCCTTTTGAAGATAGCTCCTATCTATTTTCTTTATGTTTTCTTGTTCCTCCTTTGCTGTGTTGGTGTTAAATTATCCATCTATTTCAAGTGTAGATGTTTGGCTTTTGAGAGAGATACAAATTGCTTTTGGTGTGCTCACCTAATACCTTAACCAGGGATTTGGCACAAAATCAGAATCCGCACATTGTTTTTATTCTTTGACTCTTATTCTTTGGTTCTGAGTTGTAATAACCTGTTTGTTTTCTCGGTTCAATAACATCATCGTTTCTGTTTCTGCTTTTAATGATTTTAACTATGAAGGGACAAGAACAGAATAAATTTACCTTTATTGGAATATTGAATACTAATGAGCTATATGTATGCAATCATACTTTCAGCTATTAAGTTAGTTATATAAACAAATACAGCTGAAGAAACCCACACTTTAACGCTGCAATCCAATTGAAGATAAGAAAAATTAACTTGATACAGACACACTATTGCCTAGGCAAAAGGGACTGAAGTGCAAAATAACTAGATAACATTTGGAAGCAGCTCAGGCATCTCCGTAGTATGCTGAACTATAAGAAGAAAGAGCAGATATAGCATAATCAGACTTTCAAGATTCTGTTATAATAGCCAAGCTCAATAAAAAGTAATTTTGGTCTTCTTTTAGAGTTGATTTCCCAGTCTGATCTATCTATGTAGTGGAGCTGACAGATGGATACTTACTTGGGTGTGCGACTTTAGTGGTTGTTCTTCCTGAGTAGATTG